AATCCCAGAAAAAAAGAATTTGGATGGCCGAAAAAAAAGTTATGCGGAGCAGTGTTGTAGATCTTTTTCGTCCGGTGGCTAATTAGTTTTACTGTAGATACGACAGCAAACTAAACCCAGAGTGATTTCTAATAGCAGAAAAACTTGGCATTTAAACCTGTAGAAGGTGACATTGGAGTTTCGCGTAGCCCCGTGCACCCGGTGTATGCTGCTGTGCGTGCCACTAGATACTTTACAAGCGAATTGATCTGAGTGAGGTTGTAATCAGCTCCTCTAGCTATCCTCCTTGGATAAACTTTCGTCTGCACTACCAACGAAGCTTCTAACTTCAGACTTTACTAGCTTGGAAATTTCTGGGAGAACTACGAGCTCTACAATAATCTCATTGTTTTTTTAGCTTCCAAATATTTTATGTTTTCATGTACACCGCGGTTCTTATATATCCTTGTTTCTCGCTAAACTTAGAGCACTTTAGGTGAGCCTACGGGATATGGTAAAATTTTAAAGCCGCGACGGCGAAAAAAAAGTAATCCCTACGTAGGAGACCCCCAATCTCCTGTTCACCTAATGCGTTATGAGTTCGGTGAGAAACTTCGGTACGATCGAAAGGAAGAGCGGTTAGTGCAATAATCGAGTTTCAATTTTAACTAAAGATGAACCCTTCGGTAGTAACCCCTTAGAATCCCCTCCAACAGGTATACACTATCACCAGCTTACATTTTGGTGGTAATCCCTACTCTTCGGACCCCCCCCCCCGACAGGATTCCTGTCACAGGAATAGAATACAATTCTACCAGAAATTACTGTTCTGAATGGTACTTAGTATGAGAAAGCGCAGCATGATCCCTTGAGCTTGCGCAGAAGGTTGCTGGTCGAGGCGTCCACGGCCGATCCACCCTTAGGGCTCCTCAATATATACAATTTAAATGAATTTCTTTGTCTGAAAAATAGATACCTGCATATGGTAGATCGTAAATTTGCAAATAAACATTTTGTGCTACTACTGCGGAAAATAAATATTTGCATCAAAACGTGATCGTGTTACTAAATTAATGGCTTTGGGGAGAACTTGCTCCTCGGGCATTGGCAAGGCAACAGAGAAGCGTTAGGCATGGTTAATCTTGCGAGAGTTAGTAGTTTGACGTGTGCGAAGTGCAAAGTGAGTTTGCGTCGGTTGGCATCGATTTGCAGACAGCTCAGAGCCAGCGAAATTCTGGTGGATGCCCAACAAGGACAATTAATTTCGTGAAGGAGTGCACAAAATCCATAAATAAATTTTCAAATAGTGCCAATCCATAAAGGTAGTTATTTTCTTAAGTAAAAAAACATATTTTCAGTAAATACATTTTTGAGGATCCTTACCATAGGCCTTAATGTTGCCGAACCCACACCGAAAGTTTGAGCATGTAAAGCCGCATCCTTATGCCGTGACTTGGCGGTTAGCTGGAAAGTTGCCTCTAGTGCCTTACGACGCTTCAGTAGCTAGACTGCTCCTTAAGATGGCCACTGCCGCAGCGACAAGATTACATATGCCCACTCGGCTAGCTGTTGTTGTTGCTAAAGGCGGTACGCTGTGCATTCAAAGCGCTTGATATGGTAACGGATAAAGGTGGTGATGCTACATGCTACCTATACATTCAAATATGAGGCAGACACATTCATTGATAAAATAGCAAGCGGGCAGGAGCAAATTATAACACCGCGAAAACTGTTACTTGCGACTACAAGTAAAGGTTAAGAAGATATTTACACACCAAGTCGGGCAATAGCTTTCTCTCTTTTCTTCATCATTACCCCGCAATCCTTTCGTTTCTTGTCCAAGCCTTTCAGACATTTATGCAAGTGGTTTCAGCCGCGGAACTGTCCTCCAATACGTCTGAAAAGCCTCGAGAAACAAATGAGGGTTTTCAACGACCATTTCTTTGTTCTTGATGGCATTTTGTAGTTTAGTTGGAGTATACCCCACGCGCTCCAGCTTTACAAACGAGTCCGCGATATCCTTTACAAGGGTGTCGTAGTGTTTTGTGATCTCCAGATTCGATTGTCCCTTGGTCAACTTGGTGAGTGCTTTCTCAACATCGTCTAGATTCCCGACAATGTTGGCTAACCACGGCGGTACTTGCAAACCTCTCGCCTCGTCTTGTGAGTCTTGATTTATTTCATTCTCGTCACCAACGGTGTCGTGTTTTCTCAAGCGCCGCTCGGCACGTTGATCCGTTGCCTTGTGGTCGGTTAAACCGCTCTTGGAGAGCGTGACAAGGCCCACATCTTCGGCCGTAAAAGCACCGCACGTGGTGGTAAGAGCAGAGGCTACAACAGCCAGCAGGATAGTGCGTAGCTGCATTTGAGGTCACAAACAGCGCTGATGTGCTTCAAGAAGAAATTGGAGAATGAGCAGGTATTTTCTCTCTTTGGTGACATTCGAGCCATGAAAACGTTTGGGGCTGCTGATGTCGTAAAATACAAACCCCGGGTAAACGACCAAAGCCATGGACTTCAAATCTTCAATTTTTTTCAATAAATGAAGAGCGTAGCATTGTCAGCAACAGCAACTGGTCTGACGCTCTTGTCAACAATGTTGACGATCTTGTTAAGATCTCGTCAACAATGATGACGAAGTAAAGAAAATCGTCTGACCATCTCAATACGAATTATTTTATGATCAATGTTAGAGGTACCGAGTAGCTCGTACTTAAGCGAATGTTAGGGTTACACTGTGTGAGTGACTCGAGCCACTTCGTGTTAATTGGTCCCGAGATACGTACTAAAGGTACTACGCGAAAATATATTACGGTAATTTAATTTTAACAGATTAAAAAATTCATCATTTTTAGAGATATCGGTGCTTGCGACGACAGGACTGGTAGCATGAAGTGTTGCTGTAATGTAACTGGAATGCATGAATGTCACCCGAAGGTACGAAGCACTTAGTGAGAATTTGCCTGACGAGTACTGCTAGAGTAGAGCAGACCATGACCAGTATCTTTCACTTTACGCAGCTCAACAGTATCACCGCAGCACGCACACATTGAAATCAACAGACAGAGGCATCACAATGCGAACTACAGGGGTACATTATCTTCATGTTATTGACTTCCTAACTCGCCTACTGCAGGCACTTTAACATGTACCGAAGCCTGAAAAAACGCATTGAGGCATGGCTGAGCTTTTCCGGCATATCGATGCCGGTGAGGTAGCACTCAAAGAATAGTAAAACAGCTGCTCCACAGCTTGAGAAGTCCGGCTGGCGTACATTCGTGACTCTCTGAATCGGCAAGGGTATGGAGCTGTCTTCACCTTCTAAAAACACGTCTTTCAGTAGTTCTTCGCATTTGGCGTAATATTTTGACTTGGGGTCTTGCAAGGGGTCGAACACCAGGACTCCTCGACGTTCGCTGCGATAATCGAAAATTGCTCCACACCAGTGGTTGTTGTCGATGTGTAGCGGCAACAGAATGATCTGGTTCGTTTTCTTGAAAGGCTTGCCTGCATTAATAGCCCTGAGCCGGGCGTCTTTATCGTGGAAACGATTGAAGATCGGGTTAACGATGCCAACATCCGGGTGTTCTCGTTGGAGTAGAGCAATCCCATGCCCCATGCATGAATCATCCATCCACATATTTTCTCGAAGCGTTAGTAGTCCGTTATAGGGCACACTACCGAACGAAGTCTCGCGGTCACCCTTCAGAAGAATCCGCCTGATAATAACTTCCCGTTCTGTCGGATCGCTGCTGACTCCGTCATCAATCTTTACCGGTAGAGACAAGCGCTTGACGCTAGTGTTGACAGCCCAAGTAATCGCATCTTCAGTGACAGATAAATACTGCATGGAGGCGTGCCATCGGTCCATCGCGACAATGTCCTGGTATTGGAATATCCCAAAGCGAGGAACTCTTACACCAATAGTGTCGTCATCGACAGTTTCAATCAAGCCTTTTCGAAACGCTGCGACCGCAGCCAGGCATTTTTCCACAAATTGTTTTGGAAACGCAAATCTGACGTCACAGATGCACTCATCCTCAAGATAAATACCAGCATTCGCCTTCTTGGTCTTTGGAACAGCTCGAATAGTGAGATTGGGTAGCACCTTCTTGGCGTCTTCATAGGTGTAGTTGTTGTCCAACAGTTTAGCAATGTTCCGTACGCTTGGAACTGGTGCCAGCGTCCCTTGTACCAACTAGGAAGCTTTCTTCTTGCTATTCTCGATCCTCTGCTTCTTTTCTGCTTTTCCTTGCTTCTTTCTGACTTGGGGACGTCCCCGACTTTTTGCGCTCTTTGTTATCACAAATGACCCAGACTGCGAGGATTCTGACGAGCTGCTGCTAATGTGCTGGCGCTTGGACTGGCTTGGATTTTGTTTGAAATCAGACATACTTGCTGCATCCACCTCTGGGGTGGTTAAAGTCACACAGGAATTGCCTCTAGTTACACACAGTGGTTCTTGTGTAGCAGGAGGGGTCAAAGTCACGTGGGAAGTACCTCTAGTCACACACGGTGTAACTGTAGGCTCTTGCATTGTAGCTGTAGCACATTGCATTGTAGCTAGAGGTGCGCTCTGTTGAGTCGGAGGTTCGTCATCGTCCGAGTTCGCTGTGGAAGTGTTCTTGATTTTTTCTTCATCTTCCGTATCGCTTTTCATCACAGCATCCTTTGGTTCAACAGCATTGGTATTTAACGTAGGCGAAAATGTCAGCGACGATAGCTGTGAAAGCGGGTCTACCCATTCACCTTCTCGACCAACAAATGGTGCAACACCGTCCTTGATAATGTCATTAAATCTCTCCAAGGCGTTCATCATTTCTCCAAATACAAACGTTCCGTTCCTGCTCATAATGTCTGCAATACTCTTTCCACACTCGAGAGCGTGCTTGTACTTCGTCGTCCCATTTAAAACGGGATGGCGCCTTGCTGTCATAGCAGAGTCACGGACTTGGAAGGCTGTGCACGCAACTGTTTTGTCTGGTACGTCTTCTTCTGGCACAGGTTGATTCAGCTTGCACGACAACCTCCAACGGGGTGCAATGTACCGAATAGGAATTGCCTGTTTTCCACGTAAAAGACGCCAATACATGACGTGCCGCCATGGAAGCAACATCGTCTTCATGAATACACATGAGCAGTGATATCTCTAAAGGCACGCAATAACTACGTTAGGGTTTACACGGGCCAGAACGGGTGACAAACTTACCGTAGTGTCGACATGATAGCATGTACTGGTGTCGCCACCTCCGGTCAGGACAAACAGGCTGGAATGTATTTCCTCCACGCCGTAACTTGTCTTGCGATCCTTAGACGCCCAATACTGCTCTTCAACAAGCCGGTACGCATACGCTGACTTCGCGCGCTAGCTGTTCAAGCTCGTGATCTGCACCATCATAACGCATCTGGCCCACGTCTGTAATTTTCTTTCCGTACTCCATCTCTGCTACTGCTTGCAAGAACATCAGCGTATCTACGCACTCATCCAGCGCCATCTCCGGCTTCAGAACCTCTTTGATATGACCCCATGATGTTTCAAGCCTACAGACCACCAAACCACCAGGCAAAAACACAGTTAAAGGTGAGTCTAGAACCTATAGCGCAAGAAATTGTACCTATTATTGGTGTGGTTGCCTAGATGTGGAACATCCGAACGTGCGTACAGCGCCCATCGTTCTTTCATCGAATCCCAGTTCTTCATGAAGTACTTCAAAAATGGATGCGTAGGCACAGGTACAGGGTCTTCACGTTTAAGACGAACACCTTCCAGCAAGAAGTATAGATACTTCAGATACTTAACGTACTCATCCGTAGAAACCGCCAGCCGCATCATATCGATAGCATCTTCAACTTGGTCTTTGTCGAAGCTGGACGGGCCTCCATACTCGCTCTTTGCCAGCTCGGTCCGAATATACTTCTTCAAATGGAAGTGACACAGAATCACTTTCACGCCAGGGAACTCCATTTCTAGTAATCCCAATTCACCCATGTCCTTGTCAATCACAATTACCCTGACTTGCTCCCACGAAGAGTTGTTAAACTTGAACGACCCGATAGCATCTGAAAGACACTCTGCACTTTCGTTCTCCATGAGACTGTGGTGTACGTATTGACCCTAGCATTACGTTAACAACTCATAAGTAAGAATTTGTACATATCAAGTACATGTTGTAGCTGAAGCTACGCAAACAGTAAAAGTGTAACTAGAGGCACATAGGATGTAACGTCAGGTACATTTACTTACATGTCCGTACACATCGTTAACCATGAACGAGAAGAGCTTGTAGCGCGATTCGTTGGTGTTATGCGTCGCGTCAATATGCATCACTTCAGGAAAAGCCTTGAACCAGCGTCGCATTTGTCCCGTCTGCAACGCGATGGTCTGTGCAGTTTTGGATTCGTCGACGTAAACGGTAGCTCGGTTTCCTCGACATTCGCAAATCCCTCGCAAGACAGTCTCCAGCCGTTCTTCAGTAGTCGCACCTCCCCTTCGTCTCTCCTTCATCCTCGCCACCATGTTGTGTACATCTCGAAGCACCGCATTTTTTCCTACATGGAGTCCAAAACAAGAAAGCTATCAGTCACTATATATAATTCTGGGTTGAGTTAAGCGCACCCACCTGTCTTCTTTCGCAGGAACTGCATAATTAGCTTCGGCGTAGAACCAGCAGCTTGGAGTTCATCCACGAATGCCAGTATGTCCGGATCCTCCACGCGACGGTTCGACACATGGTTCTCAAATGTAGCGCGAGACAGATTGTGGTTGTGTCTGACGTCAAAGTCAGTGACGCGTACCATGAACGTGTCGTGTTCATCGTTCCACACGACAGCAGCCTTAATGTTTGCCTTACAGCCTGTAGTCTTCTCAAAAAACGACCTTCGTATCCCCTTTCCACGGCTCTTGCGCTTCCACCCGTGAGTGCAGACCAACTTAATCCAGAAATTTCCGAACTCCTCAGGGATCAATCGATCCGACGTCTCATCAGTAACTGTGTTAGTCGTGCCGGAATCATCTGGGTCCTTCGCATTAACACTCAGGTTTGCTCGCGCCTTAATTTCTCGATTTCTCTTTTGAACCGACGTGGACGTGCGCTGTGGAAAGATCTGGTGTGTCTCCTCTTGGTAGCGCTCCATGTATTTGCGGAAGGTATCCCAGCTCTCATGCCACTCGACATCAACTGGGGGACAGAGCCACGAGACCCCAGGAGGGACTTGCCGCTCGGGTTCACTGTCGCTCATTCTGATTGCACACATGAGAACCACAGAATACGCTCTTAGCTTACCTCCCCCCCCTCTAATCCACATGAACATGCATGCTTACCTTTAGAGCTGTCGTGTGTCTTCGTCTCGTATTAGAGTTTAGGA